GAGAGATGGATTTTGCTACTGGTATTGGTAGGCAACTTTTCCAATACGAGGACATTTTCAATATTTTTGGACTTGTAAACTTTAAAGCTGTTATACATAATGATTTTTCATATGTGTTATTTTCAATTTTGAGCATTTGATTGATTTTTCAAAGTCTAATAAAGCAAATAATGGGTTGAAGGAACCTAATAGTGACATATAGCTAACTTAGTGATATATTATATTGTGTGCTTTAAAATTATTATACCTAATGATTTTCATTTGTATTAGGGATCATTGAAATAAAAATTATATTAATAAAAAGAGTAAAAGTTTTTATCGACATTAATTAATTGTCATTAGATTTAATGACACTATAAGGTTTAGAGATATTTACAAAGAGTGTTAATTGCCCCTAAAAATTATATTTAGCGACAATTAAGTTATTTTCGTTAATAAAGAACTTGTTTGGATTGACTTAAAAGTTGATAAGACTTAAACCCACTTTTAAGTCATTTTTAGTTTTTGAGAGTGTTTGACAAGGTTAAAATTAACGTAAAATAAGTTTAAAATCAAAAGTACAAGTCTTCAATTTCCGATTATAGAAAAATGTGCACCTAACATGATTGAATTTTGTTCGAATCGATTTATTTTTTTCAGATTCAATTTGATTGGATATTTCTAAGATGAATTTTCAATGAAAATGAGTGGAGTAAAATAAATACCACCTAGCATCATTGAATTTTGTTCAAATCGATTAATTTTTTTCAGATTCAATTTGATTTGATTGGATATTTATAAGATGAATTTTCAATGCAAATGAGTGGAGTAAAATAAATACCAAATCAAATAGAACTCTCTAATTTCCATGAAGGAGGTCCCAAAAACTCATTTTTCTGCAAATGTCAGGTAAAGGCAGGACAAGAAAACTCTAATCCTAGTAAATTTCTTTTTCTTTAAAACATATATAATAAAGTTTGATTTTTTGATGCACCAAAAAGTTGACTTTTAAATCAAACATCGAATTGAAGAATCAAACTGTTAGGATAAAAATTGTACTCAACTGGACGAATTGAATGAATTTTGTTTGGTCCGATTTTTTAATTTTTCAATATTTATGCTTAACTCTAATAAGGCAATAAATGTATTGGAGTAACATGATAGTGCGATCCTTAATTTAGAAATAAGGAGTTCGAGTTTTGGGTATGATTGAAATTTTATTAAAAATGTCATTTTTAAAAATGGACTTTATAATATGAATTCGTATTTAATCGAACTTCAATAGATGTCGAATGAAAATAATACTTAATAATAATAATTAGGGGCGGGCGTTTGATATTCGGTTTGGGATTATCAATTTTCGGGTTCAGTAATTCGATAATTGACAGTTAAAAAGTAGATACCAAATACCAAAATTTTAAATTTCGGTAATCGGTAAATTAAATTTCGATTTGGTATGGTATTCGGTAATACTGTCTTGAAGTTGTAGCCGATTGTATTACAAAGTTGCTGCTACTATTTTTTCAATCATTTCTATTTTTTATGTGGAAGCACGATATAATAAAAGATTAATAAATAAGAAGATATCAAGAAAAAAACAAATTGATACAATTACTAAAAGATATGCATTTGTATTGTTTATGTTCATTCTTTAACTTTCTTCTTTGGACTTTGTAGTAATGAGTAATGGACATGTTGATAAATTATTTTCATTAAGTAAATAATTCGATATTCGAGAAATATCAAATACCAAATAGCAGATGGTACTCTGTCTCATACCACACGGAAACCCGAATACCATAATTCTGAAATTTTACTTCTAAATACCATATTGAATACCCAATTACTGAATACCAAATCACCAAAAATTTCAATTCAATTCGATAATTTAATTTTCAGTATTTTATGCCCAGCCCTAATAATAATAATGACATATAGCAAATTTAGTGAAAAATCTCAATTCGTATTTCCCTTTTTGTTTTCTTTTTCTTCTCTCTTTTGTTCCAAGTAGGTGGTTAACGACTAATGATTAAATTAGCCAAATCTTTGCTCAACTGAAAAAATGGACTAACCAATAATTAGAAAAATATAAGAGATAATGAATCAAATATCACATTATTAATTGGCCTAATATAACTTTGTGATTATAATCCAAACAACATAATAGATCATTTGGTTTGACTAATTGTATAATCAATGAAACAAATTCATTGTTATTCAAGGGTTGTGGTGCTATGATAAATTTCTTCGTCTTTAATTAAATGTTTCATTTTTGAATTACAACAATAATAATAACAATATATCCAGTGAGTCACAAATAAGGTCTGAGGAAAATAGAGTGAATACAAACCTTACCACTATCTCGTGAAGATAAAAAGGTTGTTTCCAAAAGATCTTTAGATATATAGAAAAAGTAAACAGTGATGAAAACATAACAACATAACTAATATAAATTAAAGCCTAAAAGAAAGAATACGAACAACAACAAGCAAGACAACATTCCACTACCTACTAACCTTCTACCCTAGTACGCGACACTATCTAATATCACGTGCTCGTCACTTATATGCTCTCAACACTTGCCACATCCGTAGCAAACCCAAACGAACTAAGTACCTCTAAATTCAACAACACTTTCTCTTGTTGCTCCTTTGTTTAAATAAATATCATACTATTCTTTTTATTTTACCGTTGAGAGTTATTAGTCTTGAAAGTATGAATTTAACCAACATAGAAAAGCTAATTAATTAATACATATTCATTGACCAATTTAATTAATCAAAATAAACTAATTTATGTTCATTTATTGAAAACTTGACTTCAAAAGATCACTGGATAAGGGTAAAATGGTAAATTTACGTAATTTCTTAAGGGACGTGAAATCTAAAATAGTGACATATAAATAGAAATGAATGGAGTAATTATTAGGTTAGTGGAAAACTTGATGTAATGAAGAGAGAGACAGTCAAGAATTTGATGTAATTTTAAGATATCTTTTTAAATTCTCTCTTTCTTTTTTCATATATAAATATATATGGGAAAAAGGTCTAAAACATATTCGAACTTTGACCAAAATTGTTGTAACAATACCGAATTTTGGAAAGGACCTTTTACCGCCTGCACTATTTAATAGTGTATTTTAAAGGTATATATGTGTCCACGTGGACATTAGAAATATTGCATCATTATAAATAGTAATGTATGTGTCCACGTGGACACATATATACCTTTAAAATACACTATTAAATAGTGCAGGGGTAAAAGGTCCTCCATAAAGTTTGGTATCGTAATAGCAATTTCGGCCAAAGTTGAAGTATTTTTCAAACTCTTTTCCCTATATATTTCAAAGAAAAAGAAAAAACAAACTTTTCCATTTCATTTGATTGTGTAATTATATTTGTCCAATCAAACACGACAAAGGAAATTACATTCTGACAAATAAATAGATCATTATATATAACTATTATACTATGCAATTACTAGATTATGTAATTATTATTTCAATAGTTACACAGTCTGATTATAATTATACATGACTTTCTAAACAAATCCTGAAACTCAAAGGAATTAACAAAAACCTACACAGACTTTTAAGCATAGTTTAATTTGATACAATGCGCTAAGCGTATATTTGACCCTATTCACTTGTTAATCAGATAATTAGGTTAATTGAGTGCTCAAGTACTCCAATTAAATAAAAGATATAGGTTGATTAACTATTAAACATTAAAACCATATATGAACTAAACAATTAAGAAAGAACATATCTACTTAATTTCAAATACTTTAAGAATATACTTCAAACTTTTTTCATCTAAATTAAAAAATCTTTTTTTTAAAAAAAAAAGCTGTCTTATATTGTAGACCAATACAATTGTTCCATTAAAGATGGGGAGGATTAATTTGAACACATGTCCATTCACATGGGCAAGAACTATTCAATGTCAGTTTGATCCCAAAAAAAAAAGTTATTGGGACCTCCTCCATGTGTGGAACATTATCATAATTGTCCACTTCTCAAACTATTATGCATGTGAGAATGATAATTTTTTTTTGTTCTTGCAAACGATATAGTCACCCTTTCTATTGGCCTAATCAAACTCTAGTCGTGTGATTGAAGTTCAGACATTTTTTTATAAGTACGTTAATATATTATAAGTGATTAAATTTCTATTACCTTTTTAAATGTATATCAATCACATATGACTGATGTTCAGTTATTTATATATGAGGTTTAGCTGAATAAATTTAATAATGCAATACATGATCTAATGCTAAACTCTATTCGAAATGTGTGCTCAAATTTAAAATATAAGTTTCACTAAATAACAATTATTTTAACAAATTCATTTTGCGATAATGGTGTTTTGTCACCAATTTCAAGTTTTTTCAATATCATTCACTTCCTTTAAACTCTTTTATTTTGTATGAAAAAGGGTCGTCATGCGAAATTGAATAATAATACTTTTCGTTAATAATTTGGTCTAAAAACATAATATATGTTAATTGTTATTAATAGTTTGTTCTAAAACTGCCTCAGAGCAAAACTAAGAAGATAAGCCGTCCCACATCATTTATTTTATGTATTCATATGAAACAACAAAAACATTAAATGTAAATCACTTAACATACAACTAACAAATAAACATAGGAAAAATCACTTTTACACACAAAGGGCTCACTCTCCTTTGGAGAGGGCAACTACTATTAACAACCCTTATATAAGCATTTTACAAAATAATAGGGAAAAAAAATTACATCAATATAAAGAGAGAAAAAAAAGGGAAAAGAAATGAGCCTAGGAAACTTATTATACTAATCCAAAGGCTGATTTTCCTTCTTTTAAAAAAAATTCCAACCAACACTGTTAAATAGGGTTTTTGGTTCTTCTAAATCTGTCCACATCGAGACAGATTCAAGATTTAAAAATTCAAGTTTGAAATTTCACTCATGACCCATTATTTATACTTAGTGAATCTACAAGTCTTTAACTACGATCGTTGTGATATAAAAGTAAAAAAAGTTACTTTAAGAAGTTAAGTTTAGATGTGTAAGTAGCCTTAGGAGTCCATTTACTTGGAATAACATCTCTAGCTGAGAGGGTTCTCTTTTTGGTTAGTGTGGTTAACTTCACTGAAAATGGTCCTTGTAATGGTCCACCAATAATGCACCAATTTGCACCCCATAGATGTGACATGGTTAACCATCTATTAGACTTTGCCTGAAAAATAAATATATCAAAATTTTAAATGACAGGTAAAAATGACATGTCCTTTTGCTTTAAGGCATGTCCCTTGATGACCTATTATTGTCTCTCTAGTGCAAGAAAAAACCAGATAATAATTTATTTATTTTTTAAAAAAGAAATAAGTCATTTTGCACTATATGATTGGTTGGAAAGGTTAAAAGTCAATTTTGTAGATTATTGTACTTGTGCACTAGGGTGGAATATTGGAAGAGCATGTGAAGAAAGTGATTTTAGATGGCAAGAAAAAATTGCATAACAAAAAGAAGATATCATATGTATTTTTAATGGTCAGATAATCTTAAAATAAAAATTAATTCTTAAAATGAGTTGAAGTTCTACACTATAATGAAATAGAAAATACAAAATCAAATCACTTATAAGATAACTAGAAGTACTAGAACTTTTTAATATAATAGCTAACCGCTATATATCACAAGTTAAATTTAATTTATATGTAAAACATATTTTACGTTGTCAACCTATATAATTTAAATTTGTACCTCTCTTATTTGCATGGATCCAATATCACCATCTCCATCCTCAAACTCCACCAAAAGTGAAAGCCAATAAGGTGTTGAGCCTGCATTTACATGAAATGCAATGTTTTGTCCAGGATATTTGCAAGGAGTCCTACACCCACAAATTCAAAAAATTAGTTTTTTTATTAATCAGAGCGATAAAATGTTAAATTTCAATCGATCGTGACATTATAGTTGCTTTGTTGTCACTAACAATACTTTATCTCATACTTAAAAGGTTGGATCTCAATTGCTCGTGTGGCAGCAACAAAGTCACTCTACTGCTTACAATACTTCATCGCTATACGTTTGCAAATGATTTTATTCTTCGCTCGATAAAAACAATGATAGAAAATGTATATTAAAAATGAAAAAAAATAAAAAAATATATATATATATATAACATTATAGTGACTGAACTCAGTGGTGTCATTGTCAGTTTGTCACTACTTTCTCAAAAAAATTAAAGCAAAAAATTGTACGGTATACTTTTGTTAAATTAATTAATTATACCACTAATCACAAATTGACAAAATTGAAACTGCAGTTTGTTAGTATTAATCAACTAATTAAAAAAATTAAGACACATAAAATAAAACGGAATGTTCTTTATGACTTACTTGCGGTAAATAATGGAGATTTTACCACGGTTGCGCAGTTTAGTGTTACGACCCGAAACAGCCATGCGTCCAAACGCGGACCCACTAAGATCGAAGTGCACTAGACCTTTAGTTAGGGCAGGAGATTCATCGGTAATAATAACTGTCACCGCCCGTTTCGAGCAAATGGTTTTATCCAAGCATCTTACTTTATAGCAAGCGCCACAACCTTCGCCCTTTTTAAAAAGGGCCGAACTCACGGCCCCAACTCGGGCCCTAAACGGCTTCACATCAACCATCGTCCCGTAACCACATGCTCCACCTACACCAAAATTCCATCATTCACAACGAAATTTATAAGATATTTCGAAATTTTCTAGTCGTAAAATTTTAACTCCACTACTTAAAAAAAAAAAATTTAATTATATTCCCATTGGCCTGTTTCTCTATCCATAAAATGCATGACCTGGAAAGCACGTTATAATGCATTTAATATCATAAAATTCCTCACTAATAATTACTCAACTTGTTTTACTATAACTTTCCACTTATGTCTCCTTGTCTATTTATTGAACCAATTAGAAGTAAATGTGGCGGAAATAGAATTTTTATAATTTTTCAGCATTTCGCCTATGAATGTAAATATGAGCCTTTCAAAATTTGTATCAGATTCTCTAAAAAAAAAGCATTTCTGCATTTATGAAGAATCCAAATAATATTGAGTATAAAACTTGAAACGTACCGTCACTACCATCTCCATTAGGACTACCATACCAAGTAGCTGAAGCAGAGTGCCAATGTGGGTTCGAATTCACAACACGTCTAAGAGGGCCAGCCGATGCAATGTCAACAACCGCGAAAAAAACTAAAATCACCGAAACAACACAACTAACAAGGCAAATACTAGAATCCATAACGTTGTGTTAATATAGTCCTCGGTTTCTCTCTGCGTTTTCGCGGAGAAACCGAGGAAGTAAGATTGTAAGAATTGAAGAAGAGATGAGAGTGTTAACAAGTTAGAACTAAGAAGAGAATTATATAGTCTTATTTTTATAAGGTGAAGAATATTATAAAGGTAAGTGGAAATTTTAGGGTCCATGTGACCTTATATTTTAGATTTTTTTTTTTTTTAATTTATGATGGTACCACTACGAACTTTATATTATAATAAAAATAAAATAAATGGGGGCCAGCGACAGTTAAGGCGTTAGAACAGCAAGCTAAGTATAGTTCTTGTCAGTTGAGGGGTCACTTTGTTTGTTGGTTTAGTTATACATATTTTACTACATTAATTATGTATTCAATAAATAATAGAGTTTTCAGTTATAATATATAGTACCGATAGAGTTGTAAGTATTTCTTTTATTTTTAATTAGAAATTTTGGGTTTGAGTTTTTTTAGGTATGAAATTGGCATTGTTAGGGTGCGTTTTAATTAACCCGACCTTAATGTGAGACTTTTTGGTGCGAATCTAGATTTTGTCAGGTTCCAATGTGAGTACTGAATTATATGTCTAGAAAATGTAAAGTAGTTAAGAAACCCATATAAATGAACGGTAAATATGAAGAAAAAAAAACAAAAGAATTCTTTTGAACTTTGAAAAAATCACTTATTTTGAATTATGAAATTCAATTACTTATTATGGACCAGATCGAGGGAGTACTAATCTGGCTTAGTGTCTTTGTCCGTCTATAATCAGTTGGTTTACGACATGTACTCATAGCTTTGAAGATGATATATACATCGTCTTTGCATTTTCGATGACCGTAAATTGAATGATTGTGGAACTTAGTTAGAAAGGGAGATTGCTAGTGTACGAATAAGTCTCACATTGATAGTTGGAAAGAACAATGAGTTAATTATAAGGTGTTGGATACTTTTAAAGTGTGAGCCGCGCCTGTAAGACCTTTTAGAAAAAACTATGTAGATTTGACTCAAATCAGATAATATTTCACGATATTTCTTAGACCATTTTAGCCCAATAATTTCTTATACTATCAAGCTCTACATATAAAAAAATAAATTATACTAGTATTAGTTATATGGAGATTAACATTATACACATAATTTTTTATTTCATACCAAATATGGTTGTATTAAAATACTTGCTTAACGGTAAGTGCTTAGGGGCATATAGGTCATTTGACGAAAAGAATAGAGAATTCTACCGTTATTTTACTTATTTTTGTTTGTTTATTGGGTTTTGGGATTTTCCTCAAGTGTACTATTTATAATTTCCATTCTTTGGTTTCATCTAAAAAAACAAAAAAAAAGAACGTAAGAATCTTTTATTTTTCAATATTTGGATCCATTTTTTCTTTGTAATGTTCCTTTGAGTACATGTTTGATTTTTATACTTTAAACAAGATCAACTATTTTCTTCCATTTTTGTTTTGCTTTTTTATCTTTTTTATTTTATTTCTCACAAGTCCATCCATATTGAAGTCCGACTAATTCAGATTTGTGTCGGATAAGGCTCCATTCAGGGGATAGCGCTCCCTACCTTAAATAAACAATCAAGAATTGAATGTAGTCTTTGTCTAACGATAATAAAAAGTTTCTTTCAAATCGACCAGTGTAATGACGGAATGATTAGGATCCCTTCTTCTTCTTCTTTTTTAACCTTAAATAAGTAATCAAGAATTGAACATTCTTGTTGTCTAATAGTAATGAAAAGTTTCTTTCAATCGACCTATGTAATGACAGTGTAATTGGTATCCCTCCATTTTTAACCAACGATTTTAGATTTGAGCCTTTAAAATAAAATAAAAATCAATTGAGAGAATTAACCCTTGAAATATTTGTATGTAATAATATATAACATGATTTTATGAAGTCCTCAAAAGTGTTATTTAGTTTGACTTTAGAATATTATTATTGGATCTATATTATATATATTATTGCCATTTAATTTTCACGTTCTATCTTTCACTTTAGGCATCTCTTTAGGGGAGAACTTTATGCTCATGTGATTGACACCTCTATTAGCCTGTTATATATACGCATTTTGTTTTTCATCACTTTTGGGGTCTTGGACAACTCATCTTTGTTAAAGTCGTACAAAAATAAATTATCGTAATATATTTTATGTGGTTAATTTAATTATTTAATATAGACGGATAAGAATATACAAAAATGATTCAATTCTTTTAGTTGAAACTGTCAAATAGAAACGTTTTATTAGGAGTCGAGATGTTTAGCTGAAACAAATTAAAGGATTATAAGTTCGAGTATCTAAATGAAATGTTCTGACAATTTTAAGGGGCGATTATGTACTCCATTAATAACCAATGGATGACTCTATCTTCTTACCTCCAATGTTAAAGTGAAATAGATAGTAATCTTGCGTCATTAATTAGAGGTATTGAGTTTGAGTTTTCTATATGAAAACAAAAAATATATAATGGAGAGTACTATTTCCTCCTTTAATTTATCTTATGGCTGCAACATAAATCAAAATTAGACGTGATCTGAATATAAATATTGGACGCTAAATAAGAATTTTTTTAAAAAACTATATATATTTCCTCATCATATATTATATAGTACTATTTTTACTAGTAATTAGTAAATGGAACTCGGCATATATACAATTGTTCCTCATCATTGGCTCGCATATGTAGGGAAATCCTAAAAAAATTTTGTAATCCCATTATTTATTTGCTTAAATCAGACACAGATTTATGATTTGAAAATAATAGAGACATGCGCAAAAAAATTGTTTGTGCACCTTGTATTAATTAGTATACTTATCCAACCTCGAGTGACTATGATCCTCATACCTTAAGCTAGAGAAGAGATAAACTTACCTTTAAGGCAGGAGGATCATGGTCACGCGACAAGAATATTCATAAAATGAAAATCTAAAATGTATCATAGCAGAAGAGTAACAAATGTGAATCATCAAAGGTGTTTTATCCTTATTTTCCCACCTAGCTATGAAGAGTGATAATTATAGCAAGAAAAGATAGCAAGTGCCATGAGCGGAGGCACCTTAAACGATCAAAGAGTGATTCTATACACATTCTTTATTGAAAAATTATATGATATGTAAAAATTAAATGTTAATTATTATTAATATGCATATTCTTCGTTAAATTTCTTATTCCGCCAATGGTAGGTGGGGTTGTGGCATCAACCTTCAAGTCTAAGAATTATATATTATGGTTGAGGGCAAAAACATGCCTCGTGCGTTCCTTATCTATCCAACAAACGTATCACCAATCACACACTCACTTCATAATTATTTTAGGCAAAAACATGTCTAACTTTTACCATATTCAATCATTGACACGTTATTATGTTCTTTTTCTTTAATTGCACGACGTGTAACAACATTAATAACCAATAATATGATAGAGGGAGTGCTATATCGATAGCCCTTTGAATTTGTCTGTAATTAAACGTAAAAACTAGAATTAAGTATTGTTTCAATTGAGCACCTAAACACATAATAAAGTGTTTCTATTAGATCGATACTTTTGATTCAAATTTTATAAAAATATCCGAACGTGTTCTCAAATATAGCATATTTTGTTCTTATAAATTATCAGCTTCTTGGACAAACTCATATAGAAAGTCATATATATAATAAATGTGAAGGAAAAATTATAACCTAATAGTTTTGCATTATCTATTTTATAAAACATATCTATATTTATAGTGTATACAAATATATATATATATATATATATATATATATATATATATATATATATATATATATATTATATTATATATATAAATTTGATTATCGAAGGATATACTTACTTAAACCTTCTCAGGAATTATTATAGGGAAAATTGTATGAAATAGCAAATTATTAATTCAAATTAAATCCTATAGCCATAGTTTATTTTAATTGTAATTTGCAGCAAACATTCCTTTTTTTTGCCATTTGATTCGGTATACAATTAGCCATTTTATACATTTCAGTATAAAATGTGTTTGTGTTTGTATAAACCAAGAGAAAGGTGTTTATAAAAATACAAATACATATATTTTCGTCATATACACTTATAATTATACAAATTACAATGTATAAATTAATTTATACAAAACTGAACAATTTGTATAAAATTGGATGTTTGTAGCGAATTATACAAATCAAAAGCTCCATAGCAAACATAAAATATGCTATGGAACGCAATTATGCAAACTATAGCTATAATATAGAAATATAATTTTTATGTTTGCTATAAAAAATTTTAAAATTAAAGTTTTCATATTATATTTTTTTAAAATAGGACTAATGTACGCAGTACACGTACAGGAAGTTAGTAAATATATTGGAAGCGATGATGTATAGTTTAATTAATTAAGTGGTACAGCTAAATATTACAATGTTTATTAGATTATTGTGGTACTTTTTAATCTCATCGATTCCATATAGTTGGGATTTTTGGTTTAGTTATGAATAAAGTTAAATATACAAATAATTCTTAATACATCGACCCTACTTAACAAAACAATTAGCAACCAAATGCAAACTTTTCTTTACACGTATTAAAGTACAGGCTTGAAAAAATCTCAAGATTTTCTGTGATAATGGGTAATGATATACTTTCGTTCTGATACTATTTGAATTTTGAGAGTTAAAAAATTGATCGTAAGTTTGATAAAAAAAAATTAAAATAAAATTAATTGACATATTCGAGAATTGAATAAAATGCAATTATAGAAAAACTCTTTTAATTCTTGAAATTCGAACGATATCACGTAAATTAGATCGCATAGAGTATATGTTACAGGCTGTTAGTTAAAGTAACCAAATCTCTATGATTCCCTTTCAGCTTATAGAACAATACTTACTATAAATCAATCATTTATAGTATATTTCTCAAATTCTTATATAATCTTATCTGAAATATCATGACGTTGTTTTTCATAATTTTATAAAGATCCATTAGTTAAC